GGTAGTGTTTTTTTATTTTCTCAATTAATTTTTTATCACCTAGAATTTTCCACCAAAACATGGTAACCTCCATTAGAAGTAGAAGGGTCATACTAGATTTTAGACATGATTATAAAAATATCCATAAAAAAATATTACTTATATAAAAAAATGAGTCAATATATATATGGACATATCATACAGAGAGTAAAATTCTAAACATATTGGTTAACACCTTAAGTTTATATCATTTTTCATTTCAACAAAAATGTGGATGCAATTTTTACAAAAAGTACATAAATTAATAAAAATATTAATAAAATTATATAAAATATTAATAAAAATACCTAAAATATATAAAATATACGTAAATCAATTTTCGAAAAAATGAAAAAGCTTAAAACATAACTAAATAATCAGAATTCAAAATTCATGTACCCCAATTTTTTAGGGTTGGGGTTGGGGAAAAAAACAAAGGAAATTAATAAAAATTACAAAAAATCATTAAAATCCTTAAAATCATTAATTTTAACATTTTTTAAAAACATACAAAAATCATAAAAAATCCCAATTTTTACAACTTTTTTACACTTTTTTTTCCAAAATTTGCTCAGACCCTCATTTTCACTATTTTTCAATACCTTAATTTTTGCTCAAACCCCTATTTTCACGATTTTTGAATTCTCTAAAATTTGCTCAAACCCCTATTTTTACGATTTTTTTCTTACGCACATTTTAGAACTATAATCTAGTACTCCCTTACTCAACCCCAACCGTAAGTAGGACTATATTATTATTTATTATAAATCTAATATAGTACTCCCTTACCAACCCCTTTTGAATATTTAAGGCTTTTTTTATTGATGAAATATTCTAAATGAAATTAATTTGAATTTTTATTTTACTGTTTAAATTTTAATACATCAATAGCCATAATAATAATAATGATTATTATTATTATTATTATTATAATAATTTATATTGAAATATATACTAGCTCACTAGTTTTTTTTTTTAAGTCAGAATCATGTTAAGTATTAAGAACTGAAAATTTTAGAAAATAATTTTTAGAATTCATGAATTTAATTAATTTCATCTCAAAGAAAATATCATTTTAAAACAACATTATTAAGAAAAACTAATAGGATTTTATTATGGCATTATCGAGGAAGGTTTTCTTGAAATTATATATCATTCTTCTGGTTTAGAAAATAGATTTAAATAGGATTGATTAAATTAACCAAGGCAATTGAAATGAGCATATTTAAAGGAAATAATGGAATTAATGAAAAAGATGAGTCAAATTAAAAAAACCAAATTATTATAAGATAATAATTCTCAAAAAAGTCAATTAAAGAAAATACCACAAGATGTTGAAAAAAAAAAAATATGGGTATATATCAGATTTATAAATTTTTGGAGAAGAATATAATTGATAAATATTATATTAAATAATTTAAGTTTGAAGATATGAAGATTTAAAATACTCTTCTTTATTATCCATCCATTTTGCTTTGTTCTATCTTATGCTCTTAATTTAATGAAGACTTATTAATTAGTAGTGAGAATCCAATGGAAACAACCCTCATTCCTTAAATATAGGGACCGACTCAATTAGAGTTTTGGAGTTATTATGTAACATATTTTGAAGTAACTTCATTTCCTTGGATTCAATAAGAACCGGAAAAAGGTAGATGGAAATCATAGCTCCTCTTTTGTATGAAAATTAAAGATGATCCTAGTGTATGGGCATTAATTTATAATACTGTAATTACAAACTCATTTGTAATTCATACCATAGATGTTGATTCATATATGTATTAATTTCAATATGATCCTGGAGATTATGAAGGAGTTTGGAAATTACATGTCATTACATTTGATTACAATATCATGTTTTATGAAGCTTATGGTACTTTAATGTATACTAACATATTTTTTTTTTAAGTGAATAAAAAATTAATAAATATAGAATGTTATGTTGGAGGATCTGGAATTGTATTTTTTTATATAATATTTTAGATTAATCAAAGATATGAATTAGCAATATTTAGAGGAAGGCTTTCCAAACTTTTCATTAATCCCTATAGAAGATATATTTAATAAATATATTTCGAAAGAATCTATTAGTTAAGAGAAAAAGAATATGAAGAAACAATAAGTTTGATTCCAGATTTGTTTAATTTTGATGGCATAATATAAAGAGAGTTTGAATTCTAATAATTTGGAAAAAAATTTAGTATTTTTGGATGGGTTAAATACTTTACCTATGATGCATACCAATTAAAAAAATATTTACTAGTTAGATTAACTCTTTTCAAAAATTACTAAGATGAAATAAATGTAGGTGATGAAATAGTTAAAATCACAACAGATATAGATTTATCAAACAATTAAAATTGTGGGTATGATGTTATATCCCATCATTATTGGATGCCATATCCCATTTACATTAATGAATAAGTCTTAGAAAATAAAATACGTTTAAGGGAGGATGTACCTTACTTTTAAATACTATCCCAATGGCATTTCATCTAATTTGAATATGGATTAGATAGAAAAGGTTAAAGATCATAATTTAAAATAAGTTATTTTGATAATCAAGATTTAAAATCTAAATAATATTATCTTGGAAATAGTTAATATTATAGTTTATTTATAAATACAAAATTCTATGCTTATTTTGGAGGCGATTATACTATTTATTAAAAGTTGAAAGGTTAATTAGCAGGGTTTTATTTTAAATCAAATTATCCTCATGATTTAGATTTTTACATTTGTATCAAATATTTATATTCTAGTTTGCCATTATAGTTGTAAAACTTGCAATGGTCCGTTAATTTCAGATTGTTTATCTTGTCATGATAATAATGAACGAGTGTATTTGGAAGATATTCATTAATGTGTATGTCCAATTGGATAATTTGAAAATAATTAATAATGTTACTCTTATTCTACCCTATATCCAACATTACAATATCGGGAGATACAAAAGGAATTCTAAATTTCTTAATGCTCATTCGGATATTTTTATTTGCCAGCAACTTAACAATGCATTAAATGGTAATAATTAAATGAGTATTTAGCCCACAATAGAGTTCCTATAATTTATTTTGCATAGATTGTTTATTGAATCCTTTAATTTGGTATATAAGACCTATTTGTACTACAGATTTCATCACATAGTAAGTATCTATAGAGCAAGATGCATATACTGAATAAAAGAGATCTACTCTTCATTATGATCTTTATTACATTGACAGAAATTTTCAGTTAATATTATTGGATGGAGTTTATGATTATTGTGATATTACAAATATATCCATATAAGGATGTAAAGAATTAGATGTTTAACATTTATAAAGTAATGCATTTGGATTTTGTAAACAAAATCGATATTACAATAATTTTAGCTGTAATTTATTAGATAATGCATGTATTGAAATTAATTAAGTTGAATAAAAATGTCTTGAATGTTTAAGTGGATATTATATATCAGATGATGGTACATCTTGTTTATCATGTCCTAAATCATGTTAAAATTGTTATGGCTTAAACAAATGCTCATCTTGTGATCCAAATTTTGGATTAAAAAATGAATAATGTGTTAGATGTGGAAATTTTTGTAAAATTTGCAAATATTCAAATGAATTTGACATTATGTAATGTCTAAGTTGTATTGACAATTAATTATATTATTAATCTTTAGATGCACAAAATTGCAAAAGAAATTAAATAGAAAATTGTTTATACGCATTTGAAATGTCTCCATCTTAATTATTTCTTAATTCTTTTGACTATAATTTTTCTCCATATTATGATATAACAAATACCCTATGTGCAAAATGTAAAGACGGCTACTATTTTAATGATTATACTAAAATTTGTTTTAAAGGTGAATTAGAAAATTGCTACTAATTTTATGAAAAATATCAATTATTTTATTTTGAGCAGATTTGTATATTCGGTCCATATAATAAAAATACTCTTGTTTATTCATTTAGTGATTAATGCCAGAGTATCAAATTACATTGTATTGTTTGCTTAATTGACTAAGAAACTCTAAAGACTGTTGATTATACAGTAGTTCGAAAGATAGCTTCATACAACTGTCTTGTCTGTGAAATTGGTTATTATGCAGAAAAATTAACTGGCTATTGTTAATTATGTCCTTCAGAATTACATTGTCTAGCTTGTTATCAATAGAATAAATATGCTAAAGATAATTGGAAAAATGAGATTCGTGCCTTTTACCGAACTTACTTTAATTCATTTTAAATCGAGCATAAATTTACTGAATTTGGATTAAGTTAAGATAAGACTGATTATGAGATACTTTGTTCAATATGTGAATAAGGGTATGAATTTCATGCAGACAAATGTATTAAAGCCTGCCCTGAATCTTGTTTAGAATGTTTAGTAGTGAATTATGTAAATGTTTGTGTTAAATGTCCTGAAGGTTTAAAAGGAAGGAATCGTAGCTTAATAGATAATCAATGTATTGAATGCCCACAAAATTGTTAATTGTGTAAAAAAAGAGATGATAGTGAAGTATCCTCCAATCAATTTTATATCTTTCTATTATTGTATATTATATCAACATTTCAAAATATGTAATAAATTAACTGTAAGTTCTATTAATCCACTTTTTAATAATATGCAATTTTAATTTTACTCGTATTATTGTATATCTGGTTTTAGCGGATATTTANCCTAAATCATGTTAAAATTGTTATGGCTTAAACAAATGCTCATCTTGTGATCCAAATTTTGGATTAAAAAATGAATAATGTGTTAGATGTGGAAATTTTTGTAAAATTTGCAAATATTCAAATGAATTTGACATTATGTAATGTCTAAGTTGTATTGACAATTAATTATATTATTAATCTTTAGATGCACAAAATTGCAAAAGAAATTAAATAGAAAATTGTTTATACGCATTTGAAATGTCTCCATCTTAATTATTTCTTAATTCTTTTGACTATAATTTTTCTCCATATTATGATATAACAAATACCCTATGTGCAAAATGTAAAGACGGCTACTATTTTAATGATTATACTAAAATTTGTTTTAAAGGTGAATTAGAAAATTGCTACTAATTTTATGAAAAATATCAATTATTTTATTTTGAGCAGATTTGTATATTCGGTCCATATAATAAAAATACTCTTGTTTATTCATTTAGTGATTAATGCCAGAGTATCAAATTACATTGTATTGTTTGCTTAATTGACTAAGAAACTCTAAAGACTGTTGATTATACAGTAGTTCGAAAGATAGCTTCATACAACTGTCTTGTCTGTGAAATTGGTTATTATGCAGAAAAATTAACTGGCTATTGTTAATTATGTCCTTCAGAATTACATTGTCTAGCTTGTTATCAATAGAATAAATATGCTAAAGATAATTGGAAAAATGAGATTCGTGCCTTTTACCGAACTTACTTTAATTCATTTTAAATCGAGCATAAATTTACTGAATTTGGATTAAGTTAAGATAAGACTGATTATGAGATACTTTGTTCAATATGTGAATAAGGGTATGAATTTCATGCAGACAAATGTATTAAAGCCTGCCCTGAATCTTGTTTAGAATGTTTAGTAGTGAATTATGTAAATGTTTGTGTTAAATGTCCTGAAGGTTTAAAAGGAAGGAATCGTAGCTTAATAGATAATCAATGTATTGAATGCCCACAAAATTGTTAATTGTGTAAAAAAAGAGATGATAGTGAAGTATCCTCCAATCAATTTTATATCTTTCTATTATTGTATATTATATCAACATTTCAAAATATGTAATAAATTAACTGTAAGTTCTATTAATCCACTTTTTAATAATATGCAATTTTAATTTTACTCGTATTATTGTATATCTGGTTTTAGCGGATATTTAGATGAAGAATTAGGATAATATTTAGATTGTTAAGATGGTCCATGCTTAAAATAAATTGTAATCAATTTGAATTTATTTTGTAATTCTGATGATTATTATCAATAATTGGATTAGTTGTAAAGCGAAGAAGATAGAATAAGATTTACACAGGAAAATATTTTAAGTGATCAATTATTTTCCTCCTCTAGCTTTACATAAGTAAAAAATCATTTAAACAATTTAGTTTGAAACAAAAGAGTTTTATTAGTTAGCTAATGAAAAATCAATTAAACAAATATTAATAAAGATATTTAGTCAACAAAGTTAAATATGTTATGTTAATAATTTATAACAGATTTCATAGAATTTTAGTTCAAATATTTTTTCAGCAATGTATTATTAATTATTATGTAAATTAGAGATATAGAACTTGAAATTTATGGTTATGGAATTACAGCATTTAAATATTAAAAATAACTATTATTTATAAATTTCAAAAGAGTACATATTGAAGGAGTATAAATTGAAATAGAATATTATTCATTCGGACCAAATTTATTAAACTTTACAAGTGTTTTTGAATAGACTATTGAATTGGTTGATTTGATATATTTACAAGATTTTGAATTGATTACTTTTTATGTTATAATGGAAAATGCTAAGAATGTTTTAATACATAATTTCTTTTTAAAAGATTGCAGAAGACAATTTCCTATTGAAGCTTTTTTAAAGATTAAATAAATATAATCTTAATAGACAATTAAAATATTAAATTTTTTTATTCAAGATAGCTAGTTTATGAATGTAAATTTATTTTAGTTTGATCTCAAAGAAAATGATCAAGTAGAAATACTAGACTTAAGGATTGAAACAACAATTTTCAATCAAGCTTTAATATATTAAACTAAGGGTTCATTATTAATCAATTAAATAAGAATTGATTCTTGTGAAATATCATCAGAAAATGGCTTATTTGAAATTAGTTAATTAAAATATTTTGAATTAAAATCCTTAGATTTCAAATCAAATTTGATTAATTAAGGAAAAATATTGAATCTTAATAATTATTCAATTTTGAAGAAATTAAATTTTGAAAGAAATCAACTTTATAAAAATTCGTTACTATTATCTAATTAAAAGGTTGATATTGTATATATATTATTGGAGAATATTGCATTCTAGTTAAACATGCATAGTGAAGAAGCTGCATTTATGAAAATAACTCCAATTATGCAATAAAATTAGGAAATAATTATTAATTAATTGTCAATACTTGAAAATACATTATTTTCAAAGCATGATCTAATTAACTTTAATATTATAGATATAGGTTTAGTCTATTTGGAAATATTGTATGTGAAAATTGACCAATTGATCATCAAGAAGGCTTATGGTATACCTGATTTAGTTGTTGTAAATGCTTATCATTTTAATTTAAGTTAAATATAAATATCATAACATGATAATTATAAATTTAAAGGACTTTATCAGAATTTTGATTGCTTTTTTAATTCTATTTCGGATTAATATGATAATCTTTTAATGAAAATTTAGGATGTACCAGTGATTGATATAAAATAATTAGTGATTTCATCAGCATACTCTATTGATTATCCGATAATTGAAATAAAAACTTTTGTATTAACCAAAATAACAGAAAAAATTATTAATTTATCTGAAATACAATTTAGTCAAAATCTGCTAATAGTTACTAATAAAATAAGTTTAGCTTCACTATTGAAAATTTCATCTGAAGAAAATTATCAAATAGAGATAACAAATTCAATTTTTGAAAGAAATATCATGCATCAATATATTTATATGGATTAGATTAATACAGGTTTAATTTTGTTTTTAAATTGCAAATCTTGTAGCTTATTCCTTAATAACCTAATAGTTTAAAGTAATAATGTTATAAATTCATCTAATAGCATTTTTTTTATTTAAACCAAAAATATAGAAATAGAAAATTGCACTTTTATGTAAAATAGCTTATTTGATTATTCAATTTTATAACCTCATCTATATTGGGGTTATTAGTAACATCAAAAAATTTTTATTGAATAAATCTAAGATCATTTTTTTATAAAATCAAAAACTGGAAATGGAAAAATTGTCTGCTAACAAATAAATATAAAGAATCTCACTATTACTAATTCCACAGGTTCAGGATTTTTAATTTACATAGAAAAAGAAGCTTCTATATTAATCTAAGATATCTTCATCAGTTTGATAAGTTCTTTATTTTTAGATGAAGATGAGAATGGAGGGGCCTTTTTTATAGATGCATCAATATCTGTTTCTTCAATAATAATTTTAAAAAATATACATGCATCTGATATTCATTTAAGAAATAAGGGTGGCTTGCTCTATATTTAAAATTTATTAGAAACCTCTACTATCTAATTATTAGATATTTACATTAATGATGTTTATTCTTTAAAAGGATCTATATTTTATGTTGAATTTTCATCATAAGTAAAATCAAAACAATAATTTATTCTTGATAATTTGATCGCAAAAAATACGATGTAGAGTTTTTTAAGATTTATGGGTAGATTTATTTAAGTAAATGACTAATTATTATCTGAATTAAAAATTGGGAGATGCTTGTTTCAAGTTATATATGGAAAATTTGTGAGTATGAGATAATTAGTTATTTAGTCATTTTATTACGAGTCATTTGCCATTTTCACATAAATATTGAGTGTTGAAATAATAAATTGTAGAATATCAAATTCAACAATATAAAATTCATTAATTTCCTTTGATTAAATACAGAGAAATTCTATTGTAAGAATTGTTGATTTTTCAGTTATTAATACATAAATTTTGGATCAAATACTTATTTAGGAAAAATGTACTCCGTTATAATAAACTATTGGAATATAAGAACAACAAATATGTTCAAAAGATATTAATCTTTAGGAGTCCCCTCTTATTTTGGAACATAATTAAATCTAAGATTATTTATTATAAAGTTATTGTTTTATTAATAAAATTAATTTACAAAAATAACAAATATCCAGCCTTTTAGATTTAAATCCATAATTATCTAAGTTATAATTTTCAAAATTAGATTTAAAAAATATTGATTGCAAAATTTGTAAAAAAGGAATGCTTTACTTTAATATTTAGGATAATTACAGCAAAATAACGATGAATTAAATTCGTATTTAGGAAAATTAATGTGGTTAATAAAGTTGCTTGAATATCATTAAATCTACTCAAAAATCAAGAATTTTGTAGACCTTATTATAGAATAGTATTGAAAAAGATTTTGACTTTAGATTACAACAATTTATATGCATCAAAAACTATGCTTACAAAGGTACTTGTATTTAAATTTAGGATATTGCAACTTTGATTGAAGATTCTCTTTTTAAAAATAATACAGCTGAATCCCAAGGGGGATCGATTTATGTTGGGGGGAATGCGAGTTTTTTTATTTTGAACTCTGTTATTAGTCATAACCTAGCTTAAATTGGAGGAGGTATGTATCTAAAAGATTAGATAAGTTAAAATTTAATTTAATAAGGAACTTTAGTCTATGATAATTTTGGAATTTAATATGGAAACAATTTAGCATAACTTCCATCTTAATTATCAGTTTCGATTGATTTATAAAATATTTTGCCTAAAATCAAAATTGTAGAGAATAATAATATTCTAATTGAATAGGTTCATATAGGACAATATTAACTTTTTCATAAGACTTATACTGATTTATTGTTAGTACCAAATGGTTAAAAATTGTCTGAATATTAATTTTTTGATTGGAAGAAATAAGAATATATCAAGTATAATTTTCATTTAAGATTAATTCCTAAAGATTTTTTAAATTATAATTAAGAAAATTTAGAGAATACTTAATGCCAAATAAGTAGTAGGATACTCAATGAAGATAAAGATACAAATTTTACATAAAATTTTACTAATTACAATTTAGTTACTTTTTATAAATATGATTATAATTTTGATGATATAATTTTTTATTTATATGATAAATTGAATCTTACATTATAACTATAATTTCATTGTGATTCTATTTACATACCCATANATTCTCCACAATTACTTTTAAATAAATAAACCCAAGAAAATTTATACAATAGTTATTGTATTATCAATTAAATGAATCAACAACAATAATAAATTTTAAGCCTGATAGATATTAATTTGCAAATAACATTTTTATAAGTATCTGAACTTTATTTAAAAAACATAAATTGCGAAAGCTGTAAAAATGGGTTACTAAATATCAATGTTGTGGATAATTTTAGCAAAATTATTATGAATTCAATTATCTTTTAAGATAATTTATGTGGAGAATAAAGTTGTTTGAATGTTATAAAATCTGTATCAAAATCTAGAATGTTAGAATCCTTAATCTAAAATATCAAAGAAAAGTAATATGACTTAAGATTAGTAAACTATAAATGTTTAAAAAACTTTGCTTAAAAAGGTACTTGTCTTTACATTCAAGATGTCAAAACTTTAATAGAAGATTCTATTTTCCAAAATAATACTGCTAAAGCATAAGGAGGTTCAATGTATATCAATGGATCTGAGAATTTTTTTGTATTGAACTCTGCAATTTAATATAACAGAGCAGAATTAGGTGGAGGAATATTTCTAAAGGATTAAATTATTTAAAATCTAAATAAATAAGGAACATTAATTGATGAAAATGTAGCATAATAATTTGGTCAAGATTTTGCTTAACTTCCCTCTTAATTGTCTGTCTCAATTGATCTAGAAAATAAATTATCTAAAGTAAAAATCATAGAGTAAGAAAATATTCTGATAGAAGAAGTTATTATTGGAAATTATGAATTATTTAAAAAACACTATTCTGATGTATTGTATGTTCCAAATGGATAAGTATTTTCTTAATATTAATTTTTTGATTACAAGAATTAGGAATATACTAAATATCCTTTCCATTTAAGGTTAATCCCATTAGATTAATTTAATAATGTTTAAGAAAATTTATTCAATACTTAATGTGAAATAAGTGGAAGGATACTTACAGACAAAGAAGATTCAATATTTACTTAGGATTTTACAAGTTTTGATTAAGTCATGTTTAATTAATCCGATTATAATTTTGATGATATCATCTTTTACTTTGATTTTGATGATAAATTGAATCTTACATTATAATTATAATTTCATTGTAATTCCATATTTACCCCAATTTATGGTAAAAATTAAGAAATTTTAGGATATCATAATAACTATTTTTTAAGAATGAATATAAAATCATTACCTTGTTAATTAGGTGAAATTAAAAGTGTCTATGATGATTCATGTATTCCTTGTAATGCAACTTAAGGATTGTATTCATTAACTATTAATTCTTTGAATTGTTCTTAAAAGGATGATTTTTCAACAAGTGAAATAAAATCAGCATAATTAAAACTTAAACCAGGATTTTGGAGACCTTATTATGATAGTGATTATATAAGTTAATGTATCAATTTACTTGATAATTGTAATGGTGGATGGATAGAAGGTGATACATCATGTTATTAAGGACATATTGGAGCATTATGTGAAGAATGTGATATACACAATTACAGAGGATTTGGGCACTTTTCAACTAGTGCCAAATATACTTGTGGATCTTGTGTTGATAATAATTAAAATATTGCTGCTATAACTGCAATCAGCTTATGGTATAGTATAATAATAACATTTATAGGACATTATTTTCAATATTTATTTCTGTCAAGAGTAATGTGTCATTAAATGAAAAAATAATTTTGAAAAAAATAATCTCAATAATAACTTAGACAAAACTTTAATATCATTCTAATTTCGGCATCTTAGTAAAAATGACAACTCATCATTTACAAATTGTCTCTGTCATTTTCACTTTTAAATTTAAATAAATTATAGAGGTGGGCAATTTTATTAATTCAGTTAGCAATCCAATTCAAACAATGACTCATTCCCTTGATTGTTTATTAAAAGATATGTTTGATATTCAAATTCATTACTCAAGAATAATATGGTAATTAATAATGCCTTTTATTTACATCATTTGTTTTTTCAGTTTTTATGGATTCATTTTAATATTGAAGAAGCTTTAATATAGTGTAAATGTTATAACTACAACATTAATCTATATGTACATATATGTTTAACCTTTTATGGTGGGAGGACTGATTTCATTGATATCATTTAGGTAAATATCTGGGTTCTATTGGATTTAAGCTAATGTTGCTCATAGATATGATACAAAAACCCATTACTCATGGTTATTTAAGTTTTGTATGCCACTATTAATTATAATTTCTTTAATTCTTCCCTTATATTTCTTAATATCTTTGTATCTAAATAAATAAAAATTCAATAAAAATAAAACAAGATAAAAATGGGGATACTTATACAATGAATATAAATTAGAAGCTTATTACTGGGAAATTATAAAAATTCTTATAAAATAGTTTCTTATTATTTTCCTCTCATATTATTAAGAATTTATAGTGAAGAAAGGAATACTTTTGTTATCCTTAGTATTTCTATATTATGAACTAAGTAAAAAATATCGACCTTATTCATCATTCATACTCAATAAGCTAGACGCTTATTCAGCAAAAGTATGTGGAATATCTATTGCTGTTGGAATTGGAATATTTACAGATTATGAAAATGGGTCATATGAAATTTAGATACCCTATTATATTATTCTTGTTACTTTTAATTTACAATATTTTAAAGAAGTCTTAAAGGAAATATTATCTTCATTTTAAATAGAAAATTATGAATTGTTTGATTCAATTAAAAAATATATCATCACTAAACTACCAAAAATATAAAAATATACTATATTCAAAAAATTGCTATAAGATAGTAGTGTATAAAAAAATAGAATTAAACATAGATATCTTAAAATTAAGAAATACTTAATGGCTTAAGCAAAAAATAATATAACAAGCAGATCTCAAAATAATGTAAAAATAATATCAAGTATATCCTTGTAGTCCAATGCCAATTAATATGCAAAATAAAGCGACCTTTGAAATATATTATTATATCAATAGAAAATTAAAATTTGATTTTTATCTGTTTCTTATTACATTTATTTTTAATTTTATGTATAAGTTTAAAATGAAGAATTAATAGGTTAATTCTTTTTCTTAAATACTCATCACTAGTACATATTCAGTATGGCCATATATTCTAAATTAATTTTCTCATCAAAAATAATATTATCAACAGTCTATTATGTTGATAATATAAAGAGTAGAAAAATGAATAATAAAAAATTTTATTAATAATAATGTAACATTTAATTAAGTTCAGAATAGTCAAGATTGTTAATTTTAGTTTAAGTTATATAAGAGCCTTTGTTATTTGTTTTCCAGTAGTGTGAAAAGAGATACTTAAGGAAATGAAACACACTTAATGACTTTTGTATCCTTGCTGAAAAATTTACAATTCATTCAATTTACAATTATTGAAACATCCATTAATATTTATAGAATTACCATCTTAACAATTTTAATCTTCAAAGGTTCTATATTTTCACATTCAATTTGATAACAGAATCCCAAAAAAATATATTATTCTACCATAAATATAAACAATAAACTTACACATATTCTAACACCCTTTAAGAAAATTGTCAAACTTTAGAATACCCTCATTATCAGATATAGATATAATAAGCATTTTTTAACAGTTTCCAATTCATCATGTAGGCAAGTGTTTATGAATTACCTTAATAGCCTTTCTTAAATCTAATATAACTTTAAATTAAGATTCATTATTAAGAAGAATGCATTTTTAATTAATCACATAGAATTAGACGCAATTGATTAATTAATTTTTATGAATACTAACAATCAATAAAGTTCTTACAAAATAGTGAACAAGATTAACATTAAGAGCAATCATCATAAGGAATCAGATTGCTATCATTGTAAATACATTCTAAACAGTTTAAAATGCCACATATTGATGAAAATTCTTGATTTTATTCTAGATATTGCCAACATTCTTAAAAATGTAAAAATACACCTCTATTACAAAAATCATAATCTTTTAAAAATGTATTTAAGTTTAATTAACAGTATTATACTTATTGATCATCAATTTATATAATAAAAATTGGATAATTATCATTTATTACTAAGAATTGTATTTTTGAACTAATTTGATACAGGATACTAAATCAATTAGTATTCTAATATACTTAACATATGTCTGATCCTATTGACTATCTAATTAGCATTATCACATATACTATATACCTATACATCCTATTATTTCGTAAACAAATCATCCATTATTAAGATATAGGTTTTATTTTCAGAATCATCAAAAAATTTACTATATTATCTCTCAGATTAGTTTTAATTATTTCTGTTTATCTCTAAACTTTTGTAATTGATTTTTTTCGAGCTCGATCTAGTTCTTTCATGTTTTTCCAATAGGTAGGTAAATCCTATTCATTGAAGAAACTTAAATTTTTAACTAGTTTATCATAATGGTTTGAAATGCTTTTAATATATTTTCATATTGATGCTCAAATTATTTAGCTTATTATTATTATTATTAATTTATAATTTAAATATTTCAGATCCATTTTATTGAAAAAAGACAATAAGAAATTTTGATTTACACTTTAAAAATAAGTAAAAAGAACAACATATAAAGTATTTATCAACTCTATTTAGTTCTGAAATCGACTGATCAAAATTTGGATTTTGTTCAAAAAATTCATTTAAAATACTCTTCAAGTTTTACTTTCTTTTATTTAAGCAGCCAGAAATAAATAAGTTCTAGCCATTAGGACCATTTAAGATGGTATTATTTAAAAATTTATAAAGAATTTCATATTAATATATATATATTTCTATGGAATTCTTATATTGGTTAATTTTAGATGACCATCATCATTAATATCAAATCTCAATATATCTCTGTTATTTTTCATGCATATTCTCAAGAAGAATTGCTTCTTTTGTTGTGCAAAAAAAGCTTGATATAATTTCAAAATCTTTAAGGATATCTGAGTAGTATCCTTTATACTGATTTAGCATTTAATAATCTTTATAATTTAAATATAATTTAACTCCTTAAATAAGTATAATATATGTTCAGTGCAAAAAGATTATAATCTAATCACAAAAAAATTTCAAGAATCTACTACAATATTTTATTCTAAATTTGTATATTCTTATTTATTAGATGTCTTGCGATGAAAACCTTCATAGCTATTCTCTTTGATTGGTATTTGTTTTAACTAAAATTATTAATTATATATTTCAAATTTAATTAATTTACATATAATATCTATGCTTAATCATTTTCATAAAAAGATATTGAGACTCCTAAAAAAAGTGGATGTTTTTTCTTAGCCTGTCTTTCTATTGATAAAATAAGAATAAGGACATAAAACAGTATTTGGAGCTTGCCTAACTTTGGGATTGATTTCTTTCTTCCTATACCTGCTTATTCTAAACCTATATGAAATGAGACAAAGAAAAAATCTAAATTCGTTGTCAACTGAAATTTATCATGCATAACCACGATAATTCAAATTGAATGAATAAAATTTTACATTAACTTTTGCCTTTTAATCTCCATCTTTTTATACATATATAGATGAATCAGTCTATGTTGTGGAAGCAAAAATTTAAACTAAGACCACCAGAATGTATTAATAGAATTCAATTATTAGTGCTGGTAATGAAAAAATCGATGAATGGACAACAAAAGATCTTCCTTTAACTACTTGTACTCCAAAACTTATTCGGTAAGTTGAATTACAAGAATATTTTTCTCATTTAGTATTACCAACTAATTATTGTATTGATTGGAATATAATAAAAGAGTTAATCCTAGAAGGCACATTTGATTCTTAAGTTTATAGTTCTATTCTATTCTAATTTAAAATTTGCAATGAATTAACAAAAAAATCAAAAGAGTGTAAATCAAGGGATGAAATTAAAAAATAATTAGAATAAAACTATTTTTCATTATAAATGTCCTCATATGTTATAGATGTGAACAATGAAGATTATCCTTTTTTAACAAAAGGAGAAGATATTTTCACTACTATATCTAGTAAGATTTTTAAAGAAATATCTTTTTATATGTAGCCAATAACAGTATTTACAGATCTAGGTCTTATAAGTGAAAATTACTAAATTCAAAACACATTAAGATATAAAAGACATACAGAAATGATTGATTTAAATGAGAGTGACTTAATCATGAATGTTGTAATAAGATTAGATTAAATTGAATAATAATATTATAGAAACTACCCAAAAATTCAAATTATCTTAAGTTAAATAGGTGGACTTTGGTAAGTATTCTTTACCACTGCTTTTCTAATATAAAAACCAATAAATATGTTATCTTATTATGTAAGAATTTTAAATTCTTTATTTGAATTTGAATAAGAGTAAAAAAAGACAATTATAAATTAAATAAAAGAAGATTAAAATCCAGATTCACTATAATAAGAATTAACGACAAGAAAATAATAGCAATCTGCCAGGGAAATATTATTTATTTAGAATTAAAAAAAACCACTTTAAAGATTATAATCTATAAAAATAAAAAAGAAATAATTCGAATTTATAGATTCCTTAACTGTAGATCATCGATCAAAGGAAGAGGCTAAATAATAATTAACTAAAGCTATCTCATTTTCAATTAAATAATATTTTCAAAGTATTTAGAAAAAGCTAAAAATGAAATGGACTGATTATTTGTATTTCATAAACTGCTTTGTTAAGTAAACTTTATATATTATTTAGTTCTAAAAATTATAAAAGTCTTTAAATTTAATACTCCTTTCAAAAAATAATTAAATAAATGGATATTTTATATATACTTAAGAAACTGCAAGAAATAGATAAATTAAAAATGATCTTATTAACAGAATCTTAGATTAAGGTTTTTGATTATCTTTAAAAACCCATAATTCCATTAGATCCAAATTCAAAATAGTTTAACATATCATAAAATTATTATTCGATATTAAAACCTATAAAAACTGACTTTTAGAGAGCTCTTGATGCTTAAAATGCTTTCAAAGATATAGCTGAAAATCTAGATAATCCAATCAATGTTAAACTAATAAATTCTATAGATAAAACGATAGTTGATCTATTAAAAATGAGAAAGGAAAGTTTGAATTAATTATCTTTAGATGATGTCTGTATTAGTGAATAAGGATATGAAAGAAATGCTGTTCTTGCAATTGATATCAATTAGAGGCATATTTCATTAGCAAATTGAAAAAATTTATAAAAATACATTTATTGAATACTTATAATTATATTACATCTTTTCTATTAAATTAGGTTTCAATTCTAGATTGGACCAAAAATTACTTTATTCATATATAACAAAAAAATTGTTTATTCTAATTATTACTAATCTTAGTGTATTATTGAGTAGGTTTTCTTTTCATTTCTAATGAAATTTGATTTTTTTTTACTTATTAATTTTAATTGGTAGTTTTGTTTTCTCATTTAAAACCAGTTTATTCTTCACTTTGAAAGATATTAAGTTTTTATAGTAAAGCATAATTTTCCTTCATTAATGTAGGATATGTTGTTTTTAATGTAAAGCTACCTTGAATTGAAAAAACATGTTCCTCTTTTTCTCTAATTTATTATTCTTTTACTTTAAAATTACGAAATAAGTTTATATTTTAATTATTGATTTTTTGATCTATTCTTCCTCATAGATTATAATCTTTCATTATAGATATTTTTATTCAGACAATTTTCCTAATTACAGTTAATTTTTTTCATAAAATGTAGAAGCAATATAAATTGAAAATTATCTTATATTTTGAATAATTTAATTAAATTAAAAGTACGAAATTTCTTATACACAGAGTTAAGCAAAACCACAATTATTACTGTTTCTTGAAAATAAATATTAAAGTAGTTTTCTTAAAGGTCCTGCCAATATAGTTTTTCAACAAATGTTACGATCCTTTTGGATAATAAAATAATGACTCTATTATTTTATGAAGCTATAGTTTGGCATACAGTATTTTTTTGGGCGTTTCTTATAGTTTCCCCTAGAATAGATTTAACTATTAGAATATCAAGATCATTTTGATAAAATTTCTTATTTGCAGTTGATTCTAAATAATTTAGGTATAATATTCAAGACTATTTCTTAATAATTTTGTCAACAAATAATTATAAATTCTTTAAATATACTGAGATATTTTATTTCTCTTTTACAATTTAATTAATTTTAATAAATATATAGAGATTGTTTTTTTTAATTAAAGATCAAAAATGTCATTAAAATAGATAATCAAATGAAGTAATTCAATTAATTTGAAAATTAATCTGTAATAAAAATATAATACAGTTATGATTAATTTTTTTAAGCTAATAATTCTAATGTTATTTAAACATTTAACATAAATTATATAATACAATATAGTATATTCAATAAGCTAACTTTTGGATGCAATTCTTAAGTCGGCAAATAAACAAAAAATTAATTATTTATTTGTGCTTATTATATAAAATAAATAAACTTTTTAGATAAAAATCAAAGATGCATATATGTTTATTTTGTATATTTTTTATATATTCAAATTAAATTTAATCTTTCTAAAATTCTCCTAAAGATTGATATTCTAAAATGTTAAATCAATATTATTCTGAATGTTCAAGTCCTTAATACATTATTTATTTTATTTAATACTATTTATATTTGAAATTCAAATAAGCTTATTTAATAGATTCAAGAAGCTCAAATTAAGTTTAGCTGTCTAACTCAAATTGTTTATAATTTCTCATATTGAATATAGTAAGATTGTATTTTTTAATCTGCTATTTCCAATCAAATATATTAAATTAATTAATTTTATTAAAAAAAAGTGTGAATTCTGACCAATTTACTAAATTTTCTGAAAAATTTTAAATGTTTTCCAAAGATCAAAGGAAGATTAGAGAAAGTTATAGAAATCGACCAATTGCAGGGATAATAATCTAATATTTAATAAATAGGTCATATATAAATGTTAAATTAGTGTAAATTTTTTTTAAATATATTCTTATTGTTTTTATTTAAATACTCTATAAATTAATTTTTTTAGTTGGTTAAGAGCCAATATTTTAGTCAATTAGATGATTTATATCAACATCTTTATCTTTTCCTTATAAAATTATAATAGTACGAATAAAAATAATAATCCATATTAATCTTAATTTGAATTTAGATTATATGAATAACTACATAAAGTTTTCAAATGCCAAAGATATGGTAAATTTTCCCCAACTTCATTTTGTAAAAAAAGATTGTTTCTTAATAATTATTAGGTATTTTTGTCAAGGTAAAAAATATAATTAATAAATTATCAGTAAATAAATTATATGACTCAAAATAATCCAAATTTCTAAATAATTTGAACAATAAATATAAATCTTACGGATCATAATTTTTAACAATAATGGAAAGTTAAGAGAACTTGAATAAAAACATCAATAATTGTATGAGTTTTAAATCGATGAATTTCTGAACTCCTTTACAGAAGGATGCAAATGCATATACTAATATTTCTTATTATAATTAAACTTTTACTTAATTGATTTTTGATTAAATTATTATATAAATTATTATTTATAGCATGACTTTAATTTACATTTTTATTGCTAACATCCTATTAACATATAGCCTAAAAATGTATTCTTAAATACATTTAACTTAAACTAATAACTATTGAAAATAAAATTGAAAAAAAATTTTTATAACTTGGCAAAATATTGTCTTGAGTTAATTCAAATAATTTGAAAGAATCAGATTATTAAAATAAACTAAATTGTCTATTGGCTTCTTAACTTTTTACAAAATTGATAGAGCATTATTATTCCAGATGTTAAATGAAAACTTTTGATATAATGGCTTCTGATATTAATCCTGTAATTATTAGATTTTTGAAATTATAAATTATTATAATAAATTATCTTCATTATAAATAAAAATACTTCAAATTGCTATTAATTTTATTAAAAACAATCTGATGGCTAGGGATCTCGTATTTAATTTGAGAAACTAATTGTTTATATTAAATTATGCGATATTTAAATAACTTTAAAAATCTCAACTTTAAATTATAAATAAAAATATATATATTGTTTAAAAAAATATCCTTTGAATTAGAATTATCATATTAATTTTGTTGAATAATCATGGGTTGGATTTGATATTAAAATTCCACCTTTTTGACTTTTTATTGTAAGATTCTTTTATGCCTAACTAATTAAGTACTTTTTTAATTTAAGATATCTCATAGCTATCCTTTATTTTTGGACATATCTTTTTTATAAGAATTTGTTAAGCACTTTATACTTTTGGATCCATGGCATTTTGTTAATAATCATTTCTTTAATTTTATCAAATATATAAACATTTTCTTCTGCAAAAGTAGATACTATTTCTTTGAGAATTCTTATCAAATATTGTATATTAATGGTAANAAATTTCTAAATAATTTGAACAATAAATATAAATCTTACGGATCATAATTTTTAACAATAATGGAAAGTTAAGAGAACTTGAATAAAAACATCAATAATTGTATGAGTTTTAAATCGATGAATTTCTGAACTCCTTTACAGAAGGATGCAAATGCATATACTAATATTTCTTATTATAATTAAACTTTTACTTAATTGATTTTTGATTAAATTATTATATAAATTATTATTTATAGCATGACTTTAATTTACATTTTTATTGCTAACATCCTATTAACATATAGCCTAAAAATGTATTCTTAAATACATTTAACTTAAACTAATAACTATTGAAAATAAAATTGAAAAAAAATTTTTATAACTTGGCAAAATATTGTCTTGAGTTAATTCAAATAATTTGAAAGAATCAGATTATTAAAATAAACTAAATTGTCTATTGGCTTCTTAACTTTTTACAAAATTGATAGAGCATTATTATTCCAGATGTTAAATGAAAACTTTTGATATAATGGCTTCTGATATTAATCCTGTAATTATTAGATTTTTGAAATTATAAATTATTATAATAAATTATCTTCATTATAAATAAAAATACTTCAAATTGCTATTAATTTTATTAAAAACAATCTGATGGCTAGGGATCTCGTATTTAATTTGAGAAACTAATTGTTTATATTAAATTATGCGATATTTAAATAACTTTAAAAATCTCAACTTTAAATTATAAATAAAAATATATATATTGTTTAAAAAAATATCCTTTGAATTAGAATTATCATATTAATTTTGTTGAATAATCATGGGTTGGATTTGATATTAAAATTCCACCTTTTTGACTTTTTATTGTAAGATTCTTTTATGCCTAACTAATTAAGTACTTTTTTAATTTAAGATATCTCATAGCTATCCTTTATTTTTGGACATATCTTTTTTATAAGAATTTGTTAAGCACTTTATACTTTTGGATCCATGGCATTTTGTTAATAATCATTTCTTTAATTTTATCAAATATATAAACATTTTCTTCTGCAAAAGTAGATACTATTTCTTTGAGAATTCTTATCAAATATTGTATATTAATGGTAACTAGAATAATTAAATATGGTATTTAAATTTCATATGATTTATTCTATTAATCAATATAAATTCCTATAGCAACTGCAATAGATATTCCACATACATTTGCAGAATAAGCATCCAATTTATTAAGTACAAATGATGTATAAGGTCTGTATTTTTTACTTATTTCCCAATATATATATACTAATGATAACAAAAGAATTCCTTTCTTAACAATATTTTCATCATAATAGGAGAGAAAGATAATTAGAAGCTATTTCATGATAATCTTAATAATTTCCCAATAGTAAGCGTTAAGTTTATATTCATTATATAAATATCCCCATTTTTGTCTTATTTTTCTTTATTGCAATGTTGATTTATTTAAATACAGAGAAATAAAAAAAAATAATGGAATAATCAAAGAGATGAAAATTAATAGAGGTAAACAAAATATGAATAACCATTAGTAATGGGTTGTTGTATCATATCTATATGCAACATTAGCTTAAATCCAATAAAAATCAGATATCTTTCTAAATGAAATTAATGAAATTATTCTACCCACCAAAAATGGTTAGAGGTATATGTACATATATATCATTGTCGTAGTTATCACATTTAAACTATATTTTAGCTTTTTTATTTACAAAGCAATTCCATATAATCCTAAAAACAAAAAAATGTAAATAAAAGGCATTATTAATTACCATATTATTCTTGAGT